ACTAGCCACGCCCTCCCCCCAGCAGACCAGGGACACGGGGAGCAGAGCCACAGCGGTGTGTCACGCTTCTGAGGCTTTGCTCTGGCAAAGCCTCAGAAGCGCGGGAACCCGCCCGGTGCCCCTGGTCTGCTGGAGACGGTCTCCAGCAGACCAGGGGCACCGGAGCAGCTTACGAACGGGGCTTTCTCGCCCCGACTTCCGGGGAGAGAAAGCTCCGTTCGTAAGTGCGGATCCGACATAAGTCGGATCCGCGTAAGTCGGGGACTGCCTGTACCTGGAATTTGTAAATGAGAGTTGTGCCTTGGTTTAAAACTTGTCTTTAAATTGCATGTTAAAAATCAGAATTTTCCTTATCTGGAAGTAGACCTTGCAGATTGTGTGTGTCTGTGTGGCAAGCACATTTGGCAAATTGAATGCACTGAACTTGAAGTATTAAGGAAGGAAGATAACTATACTAGATACAAATGAGAAAATGAGTGAATTCATGAAGAAGCATTGTCTTTGGAGATGTCACACTGAAAAGGGAGTTACCTATATTACCTAGGGATGTTAGCGTATAATTGTTTAAATGATTAACTGATGAACCTGGTCTTATTGGTTAATCTTAATGACTACACACACCCGTTGCTGCCTCCGTATCAAAGGCAGTAAGGAGGTGGGAGCCGGTGCTAGTGTGGAGCCAGTTTTTAAGTCAGCTCCCCACTCATGCCAGTTCTTGCAGAGCTTCCGGCTTCCCCTCTGCTGCCTTTCAGAGAGGCAGCAGCGCGGGAGGGCAGCTGGGAGCCAGTGCTCGGGGGAGCCAGCTTAAAAGTGATTCTGTTGTATAGGTAATGGTTGTAGGATCAGTCTCTCTGTAGTTTTTGGTCAGCAGGAGATTCATGAGCTAGTTTCTTCCAACCTTTTTCTTGGCAGGTATTTATGTGTTCTGAAGGAAAACTACGGCTAGCCATCTTCCACTAAGCAGCTGCACTGTAAAGGAAAGTAATAAGATTTGGACTCTAAAATAAGTTTGGATTATAACAGTGATCTTAACAATTAAAATACTGTGAAAGGAAACATAAATACATTTTGATGGGAAATCATGTTTTGTTTATACAACTCTTAGTAAAGTTGGCATTCCTTCATTGCAAGTAACAAATAATACCTCAAATTTTAGATGGCAAAACTGTTGGAAGAACTGAAAGAGGCTAAAGAGAGGCAAAATCCTGAGATGAAACACTTTTTGTGTCTAGAAAGGAAAATCAAGTCTATGGAACTCAGACATGCACAAAGAGAACAAGAACTTCAACAGGTAAAATAGAGCATATCTGTACTTATTTCCTATGTATTTTGACAGCATTTGTACAAATGATTGCAGACCATATATATATTTTGACTGATAACACAATCAACCAAAAGTCCTCCTTTTTTTGTGCCTACTGGTGCGTATAAACGTGCATACAATCTTGTACTTATTTACAGGAGCAACTAAAGTAATTTGTACATTGAATCTCAAATGAGATACTTAGACATTTAAAGTAGCAGCATTTGTTGGTGCCAAATAGTCATATCTGGGCACAAACAGGAACACTAGGTTTAGAAAATGAGGATTAGCATGTGCTACCAGCAGAGTTTTTATTAAATATTTATAGATTGAACTTGACTTAATATTGACTGAGGTGAGCCTGAGACCCCAAGTAAAGCTTAACAACGTAAGTTGTTTGTTCAATTTCTAGTTACTCAAACATAATAAACTTGCCATATGCGCCTTATATTACCTTTCACAAAAAAAGCCCAAAAACTTTCTTTACTGTCCTTATTCCAAATCCACCAATAAGCAAATTAAAATACTGTATCAGACAATTGCATAATCCAGTGATAGTTTGGTGAGTTGGATCTTTGTCTTCTAGTGTTGCTCTTCTTTAACTCTCCAAACAAAAACAAAACAAAACACTCTCACAGTAGATATTGATTCATATTGTTTATTTCAGTGGAGTTACCACAAAAAAGAATTTGGTCCTCTGGCCAAGATAGCACAGCAGTAAGGAACTGCCCTTGCAGCCCACTGAGATGAAGGGCTACTCATGTGGTCCGCTCAATAGCCTAAGTTGCTCATTGCTAATCTAGCCTCTGTGTTCATAGTAATCTTTGTAAGGATCATTTTATATGCCGAAAATAACTTCTGTTTTATTCTGTATAGGTTCTTTTATTAGTCTCTTCATTTTCTCTTCTGAGTGCTTTTCATTAGTGCATTAGCAGTGGGACTCGTATGTGTCACATGTGGTTCATTCTTTCTGTCATGCTGCCCCAGGGAGATGATTATATGTGCAATGAAGTAATTTGATTTGAGTTTGGTTTGGGGAATTTTTTTTGGTAAACGGAGAAGGCAAAGTTGAAGTACATCTTGTACATGGGGTGGAGTGAGGCTTATAATGGTTCTTAGTTCTTCAGGGCATTATTCCACAGTCTTGGACTGGCCCCCAAGAAAGTCCCATCTGCTGCAGAGACCAGCTTCACCCTTACTGTAGAAAGTTCCATTGTGTCAGTGAAAGTGGAATCTTCCACTTAAATTATTTTAAAGAAGAATGTTGTTGTTATATACTATCAAATGTGTAAGAGCTGATAGTGGAGCTATTTATTTATTTAGCATCAATGAACACTCTATTATCATCCCTGTGTAGTCAGGTTTTAGAATTCAGATCAACACATTTACGTAATTTGTTTAGTTTTGCCCCTTTCTCACTGTGCCTACCCACTCAGCTCTACAACCTCGGGTAGTGCATATCCCCCCCCCCCTTTTTTTTTTTAAACTCTGGAAAGTTCCTCAATTCATTACAAGTGGGAAGCTGGGATTTATGCTTTAAGTTGTTTGGCAGTTCCTTACTGTCTGGACCATCAGGCCAAATTCTTTATTGCTGTAATGCCATTGTTTATTTCAATCTGACTCAATAGTTAGTGGGAGAATTTTATTTTATTTTTATTATTTTTAGTAAGAGAGGAACAATCCTATAAGAAACACCAATCACAGTTAAGTAATTTTCTTTTTGTTGAGTTGCTGTTGTGGTTGTTTTGTGTTACCATTGTTCTTTTTTTTTAATTAATTTTGTTTATTTCCCAACTTTCAAATTTAATCCTCTAACAATAAGTAAATAATAAATACCTAAAATAAAATAGGGACATTATTACATAATGAACATCCTGGCCCATTACTAAGGCTCTTAGAGTATGTCTATATGACAGCATTAGCCCACAGCAGCAAGTCTCAGAGCCTGGGTCTGCAGACTGGGTGCACACTATGATGATAAAATGGCTGTGCAAATGTCTGGGCATGTGAAACCCAGCCCCATCTCTAGGTTTCAGAACCCAAGCTTCAGCCTGAATCTGAACATCTCAGCATGGTGCGAGCCCTGTGAACCTAAGTCTGTAGAGCTGAGCTCTGAGATTCATTGCTTTGGGCTGTTGCTTGCAGTGTAGATGTACCTTCAGTGCTATGGTAATACACCATAAATAATAAAAATAACTGGCAATTTGTATCTTGTTACTACAGGAGATTGAAATAATGTCTTTGTTTTATACAGCACATTCCAAAATAAAATGCTCTGTTTGGAGTAGCCATTACACTTTCAGAATGGCATATAGATTTTTATTTCCTTTGACGCTAACATCTTTAAATTAACTTGTTGGAATTTGGTGATATTAGGAGTGAAAACTCATTCAGACCTATATCTGCAACAGCCTCAGGGCAATGTCACTATAGACTATTTTTGGTGCACTCATGTAGAGTCCATTAGGCAGTTTTCAAAAGTATAGCACTAGCACTGTGTCTCTGTAGCATAAAGAAAATCCAAATTTGGTCTGATTTTGTTGCAAACTATTAATTCAATTAACATGTATTTTATATCAAATTTTGTAAAAGGCTCAGAAAGGCCTGTTATATTCACGAGTGTTAAATATTTGTCAAAGTCTTAAGTGCTCAAACTTTTTATTGGGACCTTTGGAAAGAATAAATCTCTTTTGAGGCTTCTTTAGACTCAACTAGGTATTAGCCCCCCTTTCTCTCCCCACTAATGTCTAAAGGAATTTACTGCTACTATCAAAAGTACATTTTCCAGTATTCAGAATAAATATTTCCATATAATAATTAGCAGTGGGCTTTGGGACTCAACATCAGAAACTTAATTAAAAATACAATAGTATGTATTTTTGCAAAGGGACTGTCTCAACTAAAGAACAGTGAACTGTTCAGTGAACTGATAGCTAAAAATCAGTATACTTCTTTTAACCAACTTCTCATTTATAGATAGTGCAACAAAGCCGACATGGTGCTGAAGTGCAGCAAACTCAAGAAGTTGAGAACTGGAAGAAACTTGCTCAATTAAAGAATCAAGAACTGGAGAAATTTCAAGTGGAATTAGATTCAATATTAGATGTTTTACGGGAATTGCAGAAACAAGGTGTTGTTATTCCAGTACCTGTTTCAAGTGGATTAAATTTACCAGAAAGATATTGGAAAACATGACTGGGTAAGAACATATCAGAGAAGTAGAATTTTAACCTAGGCAGCTGTGAATAATCCTTGCAGGTTCAGATGTTTTTCATAAACTATTGGAAATTTCACTCTTCTAAAGACAGTTTTTTACTGAACAATTGATGGATCATATTATGTGTTATGATTTTTAATAATTATCTTGTTTATGAAATAATCCTGAATAAAAAAAATGGGATTTTTGACCCAGATGATTTTTCACCATAATCTTCCAACAGCCTGTGGAACATTAGTGTATCCTTTTTGAGCGAAGATGTACAGTTCCATTTCTTATAGTATAACTGATTGCTTAGTTGTATTCCCCTATCTCAGATCTTTTGTGAAGATCTTGAATAATATAGTCTGCTTTATACAAGAATAGCTAACACGGTAATATTAACTTTATTTATAATTAGGGCACCAAATCCTGTTTATATCTTTCAAACACTTCTCATCTTTTCACCCAATTCTCTTCTCTTTCCTCCCTCTCCTTTTTGTTAATTCTCCTTCTCAAAAGCTTGGAGGACTGGGGCAAAGAAGGTGGTTTGTTTTTTTTTCCTGTGACAACAATGACCCCAAACTAGCCTGGTCTACAGTTAAAATTTAGAAGGATCCAGGGAGTATGAAAAAAATCATACCACTGAGTGCCGTAGTTAAGTCAACTTAATCCCCAGTCTAGATGCAGCTAAATCGATAGAAGTATTTTGTCAACCTCACTACTGCAGCTCCAGGAGATGGATTACCCACATCCACAGAAAACCTCCTTCTCTGGGTAAAGAAAGTATCTGTGCTATGAAACAGCTGCAGCAGTGTTGCTGTACTACTCGTAGTGTAAACATACTTCTAGAAAACCATTTTCTTTCCATTTTGAGGTATTTCCTACAAAGCAATACCACTCATGATAATGCTATATTTAGTATAATTGATGGTATTTGATTGTTGGCTGATGAATTATGCTAAGAGTTAAATAAAGCTAGAGTAACTTAGTTTATAGCGCTACATCAGCACATATATAATGATAGATCAGTGCCTTTTTGGAGGGACCATGAAGCTATGTTTTCATAAGTAAAATGTGGCCATGTGAGTGAGTGTGCATGATTTAAATGAAAAGCAGTTACATACCAATTTATATCTTAGGGTGCATCTACACTGCAGGACTTAACTTGAAATAAGCTATGCCAATTGAGCTACGTCAATTGCGTAGCTTCTTTTGAAATAGGGAGCATCTACATAGCACTTATTTTGAATTACAGCACTCTTCCTCCGACTTTCCTTACTCCTCATACAATGGGAGTTAGAGGAGTCGGACCAAGAAGTCCTCCAGCTTGACAGCATTTTGACACCATTTTGAAATAACTACCTGCTCTGTAGACATGGACAAAGTTATTTCGGAATAGCGCTAGTTATTTCAAAATAGTGTTGCAGTGTAGACGTACCCGTATAAGTTCTTATTGAAATGCACTTGAGTGCCCATAATTAATTATGCAGTGTTTGGAAGGGCTAGCCTACAGTACGTAAACAGACCACAGCAGACTAGGGTGTGATGATACTGGACACTAGCCTGTCAGGATCTGACTCTCTGTGTTGTCCCTGCTGCTGCATGTTAACAGTTCATTAGAATGTTTTGATCTGGTCCTCTTGAAATGGGACTAGCTCAATGCACTTTAATGAACTGTTAATATGCAACAGCAGGGTCCACAAAAATAGCTAGTGTGCAATATATTCACATTCCAGCTGGCTGCAGTCTGATTGTTCGTATATACAATATCTAAGTGTTTACATGTGATGTCTGTCTGTAAAACATGTATTGAGAGTGATACAGTTGCAATTAACCAAAAATAATTATTTGCATTATCTCATTCAGATATTTTTCAAAACACCGTAAAAGCTTAATTTTCATTAAAAAGGATGATTTTGTCTAAGAATAATCTGGAAGCTTTATTATGTATTCATAAATTGTGTAATTAGGCCTATGAAGATTTGTATAGAAAATAACAACCATTAGTAAATATGTTGTATTTTCATAATATGCAAGCTCTTGTGATTTGTCTGCAAAAGAAAAAGTAAAAAAAGAAACCAACATTTCTTCTCCTGAGTAGTGCTCCTCTGGGTGCTCCATTGTAGATGTGCTTGCTTCTTTGCACTGTTGATTCAGTAGCAGTTAAGTCCGCACATGCACTCTCTCCTCATGCTGCACCACAAAGCCAATAGGTGCAGACAGGCTGACTTTCCTCCTCCCAATTCCTTCTCAACCACCCTTGGCTAGAGACGGAGTCAATAGCAGTGTGTTAAGACAATTCTCTTGTTTTACATAATTATAGTTAGCCTCTTGGTTATAGTTCTAGATGTAGGTTTTTCCCCCTTCTCCTTTCTTATTTTATCCTTTAAAAAAAACACTTCATTTTCTTCCTGCCTTTTTTCCTCCACTAGGGACCCTTCCCCTCAGCAGGGTATACCCGGTTTGCCATGCTTTAAAGAAGCACCATGCCTGTAAAGAGGCAAACCTGGTTGTGGATACGTACTCTGAGGGTATGTCTACACTACCCTCCTAATTCGAACTAGGAGGGTAATGTAGGCATACCGCACTTGCAAATGAAGCCCGGGAATTGAATTTCCCGGACTTCATTTGCATGAAGCCGGCCGGCGCCATTTTTAAATGCCGGCAGTTCGAACCCCGTGCCGCGCGGCTACACGCGGCACGGAGTAGCTAGTTCGGATTAGGAAGCCTAATCCGAACTAGCTACTCCGTGCCGCGTGTAGCCGCGCGGCACAGGGTTCGAACTGCCGGCATTTAAAAATGGCTCCGGCCAGCTTCATGCAAATGAAGTCCGGGAAATTCAAATCCCGGGCTTCATTTGCAAGTGCGGTATGCCTACATTACCCTCCTAGTTCGAATTAGGAGGATAGTGTAGACATACCCAGAGTGTATTTGCTACCTTAGGCAGGCCACATGCAGCGAAGTACGGTGTTTGCCAACAACTCCAGCCAAAATTCCACAAAGAGTCCCACCAGCAGATGATCTTCAAAGAGGTACCTCTCTGGCCCCAGTCACTTGGTAGATGTGAGTCTTACTGACAACTTCCTAAATATAAGGAATATGAGCCAAAAAAAATAGGCTGTGAACCATTCTTACATATCATCTAAGAAGAGAGAGGGGAGTTCTAGTGCAGTGTTTCTCAACTAGTGGTACGAGTACCCTTAGGGGTACTCGAGAGAAGTCTGGGGGTACGTCAACACAACTGAAACTTAGAAAAAAACGAATTTTTGTTTTAAGTTTTACAGTGTTTTATTATTTTTGTACTTTTTACACCCAAAAATTTCATTGCCTGCCCAGCTATGATTAAGTTGTTTAAACAAATGTGTTGCAGTGGTCGAAAAAAATTGTACTGGGAGTACTTATCATTATTTTATGAAAAAGGGGTACTTCATTTTTTTTAAAAAAAGGTTGAGAAACACTGTTCTAGTGAACACACAGATAGCCATAAGCAATCACGCAATCACCATCTCTCTCTTGGTATTCACAGAGCACCGGTACATGGTGGACCATCACTTTTGGACTCAGAAAACAAACATTGAATGGTGGAATTGCATCATTATGCTGGTCTGGGATGAGCAGTGGCTGCAGAAAGCTACCTTCCAGTGTGCAGAGCTTGCCACTGTACTGTGGTGCAAGGCAACCAAAATGAGAGGTACCCTCTCAGTGTAGAAGCGTGTGGCAATTGCTGCGTGGAAAGCAGCAATTTTAGACTGCTGCCAGTCAGCGAATCAGTTTGGAGTTGGGAAGTCCACCACTGGGGCTGCATTAACACAGTTGTGAAGAGCCATTAATCACATGCTGCTACAAAGGTTTGTTGACACTTGGCAGTGTGCGTGAAATAGTGGACGGCTTTGCACCAATGGGATTCCCTAATTGCAATGGGGCACTAATGGTACACACATCCCAGTTTTGGTGCCAAACCTTCTTGTAATGCAGTACCTATTTGAAAGAGTTATTTTTATACAGTATTGCTGGCATTTGTGGATCACTGTGACTTTCACGGACATCAGTATTGGGTGGTCCAAGAAGATGCATGACACAAACTTCTTTAGGAGCATTGGCCTCAGAGGTGAAAGTAAGTTGATGCAGCACTCTGGCAAGAAACCGGATGGCTGGGGCAGTTGCCTGCATGGAAAAGGCTGGTGTGCTCCCTGCTCAGCTCCCGGGGCTTCCTGCTGGATTCCACACTCTGCAAGAGGCAGCCAGGCAGGATAATGGGGATAAAGGGACCATGCCGCACCTTCCCCAGTCTGGGACTGCCACAGCCCTGAGCCACCTTCACCTGCCCCCTCCTGAGCTCCCATTTTGGGGGGCAAAAGGGTTGCAGACACACATACCTGTCCTCTCTGTGTGTTGCTTTTCTCCTTCCTGCTTCCTCTGACTCTCAGTGAGTGAGAGAGAGAGTGCACAGCCTGCTGCATTCCTCCTCTGCACCTCCCCTGGCAGCCGGGAGGGAGCGAAATGCAGCAGGTTCTGCACTTTCCCATGCTCACTGAGAGTCAGAGGAAACAGGAAGAAGATGAAAAGCAACACACAGGGACTGGTATATGCTGCTACAGTCCCCTCAGTTGCCAGTATGGCACCCTTGCCTCCCACACTCACCTGTACACCTTCAATCTTTCTTCTCTCAATCCTGCACAATACCCCCACATACACCCTGCTCTGACTCCCTGCTCCCACATTCCCAGCTCCTTGCCTTCCTCAAACCCCTCACCCTTGACTCCTGCATGCACCCCCAATGTCTCCTATCTTGCTCCCCTCATACCCTCCAACCTTGACATCTGCCACTCTCCCACACATCCCCAACCCCCTTTCGTGACCCCCACACACACATTTAAATTTCCTACAGGCATTGGTGTATCCCCTCCTATCCCTCTGCCCTGAGCCCCTGCTAGAGTGGGGAATGCAACACGACAGTACCTGTAAGAACCATTGTTCCTGCACAAGGTGAAGTAACTTCTTCAGTCCATCTTCTAGTGCCTATGAGGATTTGCTATAAAAGCTGATATCAGCTTTTGAAGTAGCGATTGATAAGATATTTTGACCATGTGCTGAAATGACACTAAAAAGAGCAAAGTGAGACTTAATTCATAAGAACATAAGATAACAACGGCCATACTGGGTCAGACCAAAGGTCCCTCTAACCCGGTATCCTGTCTGCCAACAATGGCCAATATCAGATGCCCCAGAAGGAGGAATCACAACGGGTAATCCTCACATGATCCCTCTCCTGTCACCCACCTCCAAAGAAACAGAGGCTAGGGACACCATTCCTACCCATCCTGGCTAATAACCATTGATGGACCTAACCTCCATGAATCTATCTAGCTCTTTTTTTAACCCTGTTAAAGTTCTATCCTTCACCGCATCCTCTGGCAAGGAGTTCCACAGGTTGACTGCACAGAGTGAAGAGAAACTTCCTTTTGTTTGTGTTAAATTTACTGTAAGATTTTTTTTTGGAAGTATGTTTACATCTTTAGCATCTCAGTTACAGTACAACACAGTGATTCCCTTGATTTCTTCTTTTTCTAAAGCCATACTCTAAAAATTCTTCAGTGTGTAGAGTTATGTATATAATTAGGCTATAGTTACATAAAGAGGTTCAAATATAGTAAGCCATTCGTGTGGTATGGTGTAACCTTCTGGGAGCTAATGTCTGTAGGGTTCTCAAAGCAGCTACCCTGGGGCTGGTAACTGGGACAAAAATGTTTCAGAACAAGACAGTTCAGGATTTTGCCTGAAGCAAATTAGTACTTGTCCCCTGCTGCTGGAAACTCTCATGTCTCTAAGCTGTCAGTGTATGCTTATAACTAAATTCCTCTCAAGTCTGCTGCTGCTTCCCCTCAGGAGGAAAATCTAAATGTTATCTTAAATGCATTTTTTTAAACACAGAAGTGACATTGTTTCTAGAAATTCTGATTTTTCATGTACATCGTCTATAGAGTCAAATCTGTTGCCTTTTGCCCTATTGGAAGGAATCTAGTTTTGAAATTAACTGAGCACATGTATATTATATCCCTTTATTATAAAAAGGCATGCTATGTATGCATAATATGTCATTATTTGAATATACATTCATTGAACTGCACATTTGGGAAGGGAAAGGGAAAGAACTTGCTACCTTACTTAGCAGGATACAGAAAACTTACATATCCTCTACAGCATGAGAACTTATATGAAATGCTCAGTGTGCTGTGATGAAATATCTTCTATGT